TAATTGTATTAGGCAGCAGGTAAAATGAGACATGAATACAAAAAGTAAAGTGGCTATTACTTCCCTGACTAGACTGTTTTGTCTTCAACGATGCAATACTGCCACTCCAAACGGCTTGAAAAAATGTGTACTAGAACAAATAAAAAACAGTATGAGTAACAATCGGAATTAAATAAATATAAAAAGCAGGGAAAGTGAGGCATGAGTAAAAAAAGTACAGTAACTATTACTTCCCTGACTAGGCTAGTTTGTCTTCCACAAAAATGTAAAATAAGCTCACAATCATCAGCAAGATCAAGTAAACAAATTGAAAATAAAAACACAATTGAAGAAGACCAAGTTGACAATACAATGAACAATAATTTACAAAATACTTACTATTTATTCATACAGTATCCAGGACACTCCCAAATACAAACAGCTAAACAATAATTATTGAAAATATTATGATATTTAATACAACAAATACTGGTAATGGATGCCACTGCCCATTGACATTGACCAATGACAAATGATACCTCTTTTTCCATCATGAATTGTAGGTTTCTGTAAATTGTGTGTACAGCGCCACGAGTGCAAATTCTTTTAAACTAAAACATAGTTTCATTATTACCGATACCTGATTCAGACTAAAAGGTCTGTGATTCCGACTCTCGGCGGCACTCACACAGCTTCTTCAATTCTCCTTAGACCTTATTCTACTACATGCTGGGATTGGCGTCCTCCTATATAATGTTGCAAGGGTGGCATTTGTTTAGTCAGACCTCTCCTATATCTTCAAAATATCGGAGACTTTGTGGCCATTTTTCATTACTTTTTAATCTGATGGAGCTATAAATACAGTTTCAAATTCTTGTCATTATTCGATAAAAGTGACTCCGACAATTCGAATATCGAAAATTCAGTTCCCCTGTTGAGTAATGTTGATGAATGGCCATTCGGCGAATAAACGGTCAATAATTCAAAATTCACTCTACTGACCCTTTTAACTTTCAATGTGGCCATCGATTTTGTTATTAGCTATTCTCCGAAACCACTGCCAACCGTAACAAAGGTTTTTTTTAATTTTTTGAAATCGGTATAGTTTGAATAATATTCCGAGTACTCTATTTTCACGGAAACGCTGATTGCAGTTTGGTCAACAATGCAATTTTTTTTTCTAAAAATTTTTTTTTTTTATTGTTTGTTGCATTAATGTGTTCGTTATACGTTATAATCGTTTTTTGAACTGTTTTGCTACAGAAAAATATGTAATGTTTGATGTTTAATATTTCGTTTATTTGAAAGCAGATGAACAAAAACAAAGATGAGATCTTAGTATATAAAGTAGTAAGGAAGGATGTTTACGCCAATGTCAGTTAACCAAGATGGTTATCCAAGATGGCTACTCGACATTACTATTTACCAGTGATGTATTGTATTTTTTTTTTGTGTCATCGGCATCAACTGCTACAGTTATTAGCCTCGTGTTCTGTGTAGTCTTTGTTACTGTTTCCCAGCGCCACTTTAGGAAGAGCACTGTTAATTATTATTACCCAACAGTGAATGGTCGAGTGGGGAATCTTACCAAGGCATCAGAATTAATTTTAAGTATTTATATTGTTTGAGAACGTAATATTTTTTTTAGATTAAAAATTCATTCTTTTCAAAAGTTGATAATTATATTTCAGGATTTTTACAATTAAACGACAATCTTTTTAAAGATTTATTAAATTTTACTCAATCAATTATTTTGTTTGATAATATTGAATTAATGGAAATAAAATGTAGTATAATTGCAAAACATTTTAATGAATGTCTTGCCTAAGGTTTTCCTAAATAGTCGTTCAACAATTTCTTTCTTATTTTCAAAATTTTCCAAAACATTTTCTTCTTCCTCATAATCAGTTTGTTTTTTGAGTTCCAGCATTATTCTCTTTAAAGATTTGATGACTTTCCATTGTCTCCATTTGGTTTGCTGTTATTTCCTTAATTTAATAATTTCGACTTGATTCTGTGCTTTCAAGTTTTGGATTCGTCTTTTGAGCTTCTCTTACGGGAGTAATCAGGAGGGTTCTCTTCTAACTCTATATGTATGTACAACTTTGTTGACAAACAAGGTCTAGAAAGAGCTAAAGAAGCTTCATCACAGGCAGTTGTTACCTGTTAAATCGAAGGGTTATAAGTTCTTACCTAAAAAATACAAAACAATCTGTTTTACATTTTCCATTATTAGACAGGTGTCGAACGTTTTTCTGCTTAAAATAAGTTCTTAACACACTCTATAATAGTATGTATGTAGGTACTTATACGTAAAGTAAAATAGTTTATTATCTGATTTAGGTATTTATTACCTTTCAAGACTAAAGGCAGCTTAAAAGTATTGTATAGATTTTGTACAATTTTATCAATACAAATACAGATAATTGTAAGTAAATAATTACATATTTCATCAGTGTCACTTGAATCGTATATAAGTATAACAACCAGGGCCGGTTTTACCACTAGGCGTCAAAAACCTGTAGGATGTCGGTGAGGGGTGTCCACAGCTCGTCAAAGTCCTGCAGGTTATCAACTCATAAAAAACCTGCTGGTTGTCGCTGGGGCCATCCTCTCTTTAGGGCATCTATTCTTAAATCTCAGGGAGTAGAAATTTTGAGGGAAGAATGAGACAAAAATACAAATTTTGTGCGTTGCAGATAAAGAGGAAAAGCTGGCTTTCTATTTCTTCGAATTCAAAAACAACTACCTAGGTAGCACACGACGTCTGAAAGACGCCTTCTTTGTGTCTTGGTTTGGTCTCAGTGTCCTAGAACGTTATTGAGATGTCTCATAAGACGTCTGGTGACAGCCATAATTCAGACCAATTAATGTGAGAGATCAAAGAAAGGGAGTAATAGGAAATGATTAGAATCAGTAACCTTAGGTATTGGGGAGCTTACAAACGGGGGTTATTTACTGGTTCCCTTGCCTTTTTTTTGCTTGATTTCAAATAACGGTGGATGGAGTTTGTTTGTTTAAAGAGGAATACCATTTAATCCAACTCTCTTTAGCTTTAAGCTTTAAAAACCTTTTAGTACGAGCACTGGCTTCCTAACATTTGACAAAATTTTCATAAGAAGATGTTTGCTTATAAAGAGTTAAGGCGTTTTCCCTATCTTCAATAGTTTGGTCGCACTTCACATTCCACCAAGGAGGAGGAGAAGGTCGTTTTTTGGCATTAAAGGATTTGTATTTTGGGATGGATTGGTGAGCTGCATTGTCAATGCAACTCATTAAAAAATTGTACTTTTCACTAGCATTTAAAGCATGACGTGGATTATCATTTATGTATGTTTCCATTTTTACTTTCTTTAAATTCCATTTACTTTTAGGGTAAATTATATCATTATTTTTTTCGGTATTTGCGATGTCTATTTTAATAATGAAGTGATTTGAACCTAATGTATCTACATCTACCGCCCAGTTGGTTTTATTAAATATTTGTGGTAAACAAAAGGCTCCCAGGACGAGTTTGACAAGTAGGTTCGCCAGTATTCATTACTACTAAATCTAAATCATGTACAGTATTTAAAATTTGTTGACCTACAGAGTCGTTTTTGGCAGAACCCCAAACAGAATTATGCGCATTTATATCGGTTCCAATAATGCAAGGGTGGTTAATTTGTGAGAATAACTTGTGCCAATCTTCAGTTTTAGTTTTGGTTTGTGGGCATCTGTATACCGAGAGAAAATTTAAATTGCTGTTGTTATGTTTTATTTTGATCCCACATACGAGTAATTCATTTAAATTTTTTTTATTGATTTCCAGAACCTCGAATTTAATATTTTTTTTTTAATAAATATTGCGACTCCAGCATAGCCGTCGTCACGATCTTCCCGTACCAAGTGACATCCGGAAAAATTGTAGACAATATTTTGTTTAAACCAAGTTTCACTTATAAGTGCTATGCCAATATCTTCATTTAACAAAAAATTCATTAAACTATTTTTATTTGAAACTGCAGAGCGAGCATTCCGTTGAATAATTTTTATTTTCTCTTTTAAATCCATTGCTAATTTTTTTTTAAGGGCTTCATCCAGTACCATATTTATATTTTTAGCAAGTGTGTCACCATCTATAAATTTAGCTTCTTCTATAGATTTAATATTTTTTAAAATTTCAGTAAAGTGATTGACCAGTGAGTTCATAAGATTGGTTTTTTGTTAAACAAAGGTGTGGTAATTTGGTGGATAAGGATTAGGTGGCAAGGGCTGAGAGGGCCCAAATCTAAAAGGAATACTGGGTGTTGGTGTAGGGGATTGAGGAGTCGGAGAAGTTGCCTTCCTTTTTTTATTGTTATAATGTGTAGTTTTACTGTTACCAGGCTGTGTTAAACTATGTTTTTGAAAGTGAGGTTTACTATATGGTGGTTGTGTTGAAAAAATCTTTCAGAATTATTATTGGGAAGTTTTGGAAAATCAGCTTCCAGATTTTTTTTTTATTTAACAATTAACGTGTCTCAACAACTATGGCACGATACAATGAAATATAATAAACTATAATTTAGTAGATACATAATATCAACTTTCTAAAAATTAAATTAAATTATACAAGTTGGTTTGCTGCAGAAAGTTTATCAGTCTTGGGTACTGTTCGGGGACTCCAAGGATATCTTTCAAAGAGTTTCCCAATCCATGGCTTTTGCGCCAATCTTGTATGTAGGTTTAAGCTATTTATGTTAAAGCTTGCACGTTGATGAATTTCAGCTAAACCAGAAAACTTATGCGATGCATATCCTTGAAATTTTTTCAACACACATAAATATTAATGCGCAAGCATGTATCACATAAATGTAAGTGCGTCTTATATTGTATGTTAGTCTGTGGGCACTTAGACGGATGGTACATGGTAAAGACGTACAGTGAAAACGAAGATTTTCTCTATAACATAATTTATTTATTTATGATAATTCAATTATCAGGACTACAGTTTAAGGCTTACTACCAAAATTACGAAATTAACCTAATTAAAATAAAACCTTCCATTTACAAAATTTTCTATCAGTCCCAAAAGATCGCTATTGTAAATGTTGTTGATCCCTATTTCTACTACTACGTCTAATTCTTTTGTATCTCAAGAGTTCTCCGTCGAAAGTTTGAGGTAGAGCTCCAAAAAGGTCTTCATCTGACATATCAATGAGTTGTCTAGGTGCTAAGTTATTTTCTTCCCTCAAAATACGCCGCCTGTACCTTGAATGAGGCGACATACTGTCTTGTTGTTTAAAGGAAACCAGGTGCGGTTGACCATTTTTGAAAATATTGAAATCGTATTTATCTCTTTTCTTTCTAAAAGTGTCTCTCGGCGAAAGGTTATATGTGTCTGGTTGGAAATCAACAAAGTATTCACCACTTTCCATGGGCTTGTTAATGGCAAATTTTCTGGGTTTAATGGCCCTTTTTTCAAATTTATCATTGTTCGTATAATCGTCGTTTTCGTATTCATTGTCAGTTAAGTATTGGTTGTCTTCATGTAACGCACTAATACTGTTAACAGACTTCAAGGCAAGATCACTGTCTTCATTATAATCATCTCCAAGATCGTAATATTCCGAATAATTTTTATCAGCCAGAGATGGAATTGTCTCTTTCAAAGTATTTTCGCACTTGCAATTATTTCCATTTTTATCACAACTGCACACTTGTTTTGACCGTTTTTGGTTTTTCATTCCAATATCTTTGTTGTATTGAAATTTATATAACCTTCGGTTTGGATTGCTCTCATCACATTTGCAATCGGCATCATTTTTATCACAACTACACTCTTGTTTTCTAGTGTTCTGAGAATACTGATTGTTTTCGAGTTCACTCGTTTTCGGCTCATCGTCAAAGCTATCCACGGCGTTAATATCATCAACTTTTCGCTTAGTTTGTTCCAAATTATCTCTGTTATTAATATTGTTATTATTGGTCTCATTGTTATCAAATTCAGCAGTTCTTTTTTTACGAATAAGCGGTTTCTCGGTCTCTTCGATGTTATATGTTGGGTTAATATCATTAGTTTCTTCATCCATTAGTGTATTAACGATTTGCCTTTTTTTCCTCCTTGTATCATCGTCGCTTTTCGTAAGATTACTGATTTCTTTTTTGACCTCTTCCTTCAGTTGTTGTATTCTTTCGCGTATTTCCCTTTCAACTCTTTTTTCATAGTCATCAACATCACGTGATCCTTTGAAAGCGACTGTCGTACAGTCCAACACGGGCATATCGTTTTCAAATCGTTTGAATTTTCGTTCGGCATCAGCTGTTTCTTTACTAGCAATATTGGTATCTATTACACCTGGATTATCTGTTTTATCTTCCCTTCTTTTTCTTGTTTCCGCTTTACCCTCTTTAACTAAATTAATTTTATTTGTACCAAGCTCTAAATTTTCGTCTTCTACTTCACGTTTTATATCTTTCACTTCTTGATTCGGGTAATCATCGATCAGACCCATATCGTCTAAAATGTTCTTTAACTTTTCTTCTACGCCAGCATGTTCTTCGACGCTGATATTCTCGTCGATACCAACGTTTTTTCCAATATCGACAGTTTCTTCTTCATTATTTAAAGTTGATTTGATGGGATCTAAATCAGGGTTATCAAAGGAAAGGGCTCTCTTAAAATTAGATTTTTTCTTGGTTGCTTCTTTGGAAGACTTATCTAGTCTGCTGGATATTTTAAATTTAGCAAAAATTGAAGGGTACCTGTCGTCGGCAAATTTGGCTGTGTTTGAAAATTTTTCTTCATTATAGTCGTCAGTAAATTCAGTTGGATAGAGAATGTCTAACACAGTTCTTCTTTTTGCGGGAACTGGATTGATTTCTACATAAGTAGGTTCCCCTTGTATTGGTAAAAATCGATAAGATTCTTCGAAAGGCTGAAGTATACCTACAGGTTCATTATCCTTATACATAATCGCACACTGAGAATCTTTCATACCTTTCAAAGTGTTGTTAATATCCACGAATCGTTTGTTAAAATCTTGATGCCCGGTACCTAATTTATATTTGTGCCTAGATCTGTAACTTTCATGTAAAGGAATGTTATCTTCGAATTCCTCTTGATTACTTAAGTCCATTTCGTTTACTGCCTCATTTCCGCTTCCACTGTTATCGTTTAATTTGGACGTTACTTTTCCAGTGAAAAGAGTTATTAAAAAAAATGTAATTGTAAAATGAAGCATTGTAAAGTAAGTATAAAATATATAAGTATAACTAAACATCAATTTGAAGTAAACAATGACATTTTTGAACTATAAATTCTTGTCAACATTATAATCATTGATTAGATGAGATATCCGTTGACAGGTACTTAGCTATATATACCTAGAGGCTACTTGCCAAATAAAATAGAAGAAAAATGACATATTTTAGATATATGAAGACTATTTTATAGCTAAATAATCAGTTCGCTCACTCTGCGTCGGCACTTTTGATCTCAATGTTCCAGTTTGTACCTCCGAGCAATTACTACTAGAGGGAGTCTTCCCCCCTTCCCCGCGCTAAATTTTGTTAGCAACATCTACTCCCCCCGAGGGGGAAAATACCTCTTCTGTAATTGGCTTATTTAATCAGCGTTGCCAAGTTTGACAGCGCCAGAAGTGTTCTGTGAGCGCCAGTTCTGACACTTTCTGACACATGTCAATTTCTTATTTGTATTTTACGAAAAATATTATTATTTATAACGTTGTAAGGGTTGTAAATGTATATTTAAGATTTATTATCTCTAATAATATGGTGAAAACATGCTTTATGTGTAAAAGGCCTGTTGAAAATGCTTCTTCAAGATAATATCATAAGTAAGTACAGACACAACCTAATTATCAGAGGCGGTGCATTAGGCAATCACCTTTAATTTGCAATTAAACTTTCTTATTTTCTTATCGAAAAATTAAAATTAAGAGCAAGTACACTCCAGCTAAGTTCGTCTTCATCCGTCTCATAATGATTATAGTAAAGGTTAATTACTTATTATTATTTTAATATCACATCTTTGTAAAGTTTGTTATTTTTTTTAGGTTTCCTTTTCTTGATATGAGAAAGAAATACATGGTTCCAAAAGATATGAATTCAACAAGTGACCACCTGAATAACTTTTTATGCTAATGAACATTTTTCTTACAGACCTCAGGGAAGGAAAATATTAAAGAAAAATGCAATTTCGACGAAAGAAGTATAATAATCAATCCTGTCACTACTTCTACACTATATTCATCTGCTACTAAAATACTAAAACAGTAAGTAAGTAGAGAAACTTAAGTTTCTTTCAAAAAGAATGTTTAAGGAAAAAGGCATAGCTATTTTTTTGTTGACACTTTTTTTTAACTAATCTAAAAGACTAATTTTGTGTATTGCTTAAATGTTTATTTTTTGTACTTAATTTGTTTTAGGTTTAAACAAAATTAACTTCTGGAATATCCCAAAAGAGCTAAGGAAGGTTTTAAAATTCTTAAGAAAAGTATTCAGAGCCAAAAACATAAAATAGTCTTCCTGTCCAAAATATAAATTATAAATATTTAGATATTATGAGTGATTTTTTATTCTATAAATAGAACATAATTTGCTTCTAAATCACTACCTAATGAACTATATTATAATATAATTATATATTATAGTACAAAACTAAACAAGAATATCACATTATTCATGTTTTTTTTAATTTCCTTAAAAAACGTCCCAAAAAAATGTGAATATTTATTATTGAAGTTAACATCGTTATGCTAAAACAATACTAGAACAACTTAAATAATGTGGATTTTGACTATTTTGAGTTATGCAGATCATTATGATCTAAAAAAATGTTTGTCTGGTGCTATAGTCAGGTATAAAAACATTCATTTATTTAAACACAGTTGCAATATACATTTTATTTAGTTTTTAAGTTAAAACCTATTAGGACATCCTAAAATTACTTTTTTCGTTTGATGTGAGATTAATTATTCTACATTTTTGTTGGTGAAATAGGATATATTAAGATGTCTTACTGTTTTCTCTGATTATCTAAAAAGTTAGAACAATATACAAAGACTGTTATAACAAAAAAGAGATATACCTTTACTTAAACACACAATTAGTCAGTTCAATTGTACGATAATTTAAAGCAGAAATCCAGAAAACTTTAAAAATGTGTTTAAATGTGTTTTTACTATAACAAGGACATAATTATTAAAAAAACTTGGCACATTAACATTGACAATAGGTTTTTATAATATATATTATAAAAATCACAACGAACTACACAAAATGACATTATTAATAATTTAGCAATAAAAAAGTTAAGTACAATGATGACATTAAAAGTTGAGTTTCTCGAAATACTTTTTTTAAATTGTCTCAGTAACTACCTAGTATTTTTTTAGCACAATGATATTATACGAATGTGCATTGTGTGATATCTTATATTTTAAGAATAAAATTATATATTTTTTGCAGGTTTCTGTTAACAACGATTCCAAGAACTTTTGAAAATATTATTAAAACGGCATTTGCAAATATAATTCTCAATTAAGAGCTTTTGATCTAACATTAAATTTTTATTCTCCATAAGGTTATAGCTTCCTAAGAAGAAAGTTTAACAAGACTTACCAGACTCAAAATATCAAAATTTTACCAACCAATTGATGGTTCTACTGGTTTCCATAGGAAAATTCTCCTCGAAACTACTAAAAGAAAAGTGGCAGAGGCAACCGAAGGAGGCAAAAAAGTCTTTTGCAAAATAAAAACTAGAAATTTGTTTAAGAATCTAATTATTGTTTGAAGTTTTACCAATGATAATTTTTGATAACGATTTAAGATTATGAAGTTCTATTATGAATTTTACTCTTTGATAACCTATGTTTAAATTTTTATTAGGACCAAAATAAATTATAATTTTCATTTCAACTACAAAAACGCTCATAATATTAAAAAGGGGAAAAACGTTAGATTAGTTATGTTCAGGAATAAACTCTTTAAACATTTATCTACCTAACATGTGTTACTTTTAGAAGGTATGTTATTAACTTTCTATTTGTACTTGTATTAATTCATTTCATTTTATTATCTGTTGTATTTTCAAATTGATTTTGATATTAATCTTATCTATTTATATATTTTTTATACTCACATATATGTTTTTTTCATTGAAATAAACGTTTATTAGCTTATTAAATATGTTGTTTTATTATATGCTTGTATGAATGATTACTTTTATTTCCTTTTAAAAATGAATTTCGAAGATAAAGCCGAAACGGTGAGTGAAAATAAAAATTAGACGAAAGTGACGATATTTACTGGAGCTTTCATCTACACGCTCCTTTTTCTAGCCATCTACACCTGAGCCAGCAAGATTCGTCTTCCCTCCATCCTTACATTCTCCAGATTTACAGAGAAAACGCCGTCCTCTTTAACATATTCAGACCTTTGACGGGGACTATACCACTACATTATCAGCTTTATTTGTTATCTCGAGCAATTTAAATGCATTCGTAATTGCTCATTCTCATCTCTTCTCTTGTAGATTCCGTACTCAGTTTTCTTATTTTTAGTTACGTTTGCACTGCTCTTTTATTTTCACAGCTTTAATTCTATAATGCTGTAACGCTACTATATGGATCCATTTATGTGGTTTATACTATTTAATGTTATTCGTAAGTGACCAACCTAGCTATTATAATAATTAAAGATTATTGTATTACAGGCCTGAAGATGTTCCTGTAAGGCCGAAACTAGTCGCTCCTGTATTTATAATAAAATTGATTTTAAGGTTTTATTTTTCAATTGAAAAAATTAGACCTTTACAGTGATTTTGTTTCTTTTCCTGCATTAGACACACATAAGACGGTATTCATTTTAAAAATAGTAAAATTAGCAAAATTTTTTGTTTTTTTTTTTACAATTAAAACATTTGGACAATGTGTGTTTTTATAGATAAATGATACGCCACTGAACAAGAAGGATGTTTACCTTCCCCCTTATGCCCGCTTCCTCACTTCCTCTACAGATGTTGCTAACACAACATTCGCCTACAAACTCGTTTCCATGCTCCCTCTATTAGTAATTGCTCGGAGGTTTGTACATTGCGCAACTCGGATTTGTATCCCTGCCACATACAGAATCAAATCATAATAGCCCAAGGGCCCACTGCAAATTTTTACCGTCATCTGATAACGAAATGAAATATATGCCAAAAGCATGTAAAAACATTGTACTTTACCAAATGGCACCTATGCCAATCCCAATCCTGAGCAAAGTGGTTAAAAAAAATATTTTATATTAACTACAAACACAAATAAGTCATGACAGCGCTAATTTTGTTTGCTCTTACAGTTTTTCAGAAAATAACATATTTAAATATATCTTGATATATATCGTTAAAGGGAAACATTTGCTTCCTCTTAACATCGTACAAAACATCTATCCACGATTAGTGGGTAAAAATCATTAAAAATATGTATCAATTTTTGCCACGTACTTTGATTACTATACGGTGCAAGAGAGAGGTCCGACACGCCCAACATAGGGCGCGGCCATTTTGATTCCTATGCCACAGTTTATAGCTAAAGAATCAGATCGGATAATACAATATATGACAACCGCCTATAATAAAACAGCAGTATTCTGCGTATCCTGAATTTGTATCCCTGGAGTGGATGTTATTTTGGAACTTTCAACTGGTCCGAGTGAGCTAACTGATTCTTTAGCAATAAACTGTGACTCCAAAAATAATACTCACTGACACTGACAGCAGCAAGCAAAATATCAGGTGCGTTTTAATCATCCGCTTCTGCTTCCGGAATTATCGGTTTAGTCGTTTTAACCTGTCAGATTAAAACAAGAAAACCGACAATTCCGAAGCAGAAGCGGATGATTAAAACGCACCTATTAAAAATATTGCGCCAAGATGTAGGCAACACGTAATAAGGGATCAAAATGGCGGAGTTTTCTATCTTCTTTTAAAAGGCACTCAGAAAGCTGCGCAGTGCAACCATTCTCCGTATAGTAAAAGAAAATCAAAGTATGTGATTTTTGCTAATCTAAAAATTTATTTGTATGCCTACTGTTGTGATTTATTTTTACAGGTTACCATAGAAACGACAAAAAAACTACTTAATAATTCAGAGGTTTAAAAGCTAGTTTCACAATGAATTAGGATTGTAATTTTCAGAGCAAACACAACCATTGTCGCTGTCATGTCTTATGTGATTTTTTGAATATAAAATATGTTTTTAACCACTTTGCTCAGGATAGGAATTGGCACAGGTGCAATTTTGTAAAGTACAATGTTGTTACATGCCTTTGGAGCA